ACTCGTTTCATTCACACTTTTTATGTATGAGAACAGCAACACAGCAAACTGGCGACATGCGCCCACACAGTACTCAGAGATACGGCTTCCAGATAAGAGTTCGCTTCCACTGGCTATGGCGACTTAGCGCCCAAACAACTCGCTGTTCACCCACCGGATCACCCTGGATATCCCACACGCAACACTCCGCACACTCACACCACACGCACACTGCGTCCTAAGCTACAGCTATGGCAGCGCTAGCTGCCCCTATCCTATCGCTATGGCTACACTGCATCACTCTCGCCCACTTCGTCTTCGGGCATACTGCAGACCTCCTCGCACAAGACGCTGAGGCAGCGCTTCCGCATGGCTTCCGCAGGAATGAATGAATGGCTGTGCGCGGCCTCTTGATTTTTACTTCTGTGACTCGTTGGTCTGCCCTGTTTCCCTGGCCCACGGTGCACACAGTCCCAAACGGTACTTGCTTGACTGGACCGGACTGACTGGACTGGGACCGCTGACTCTGCATGGTGGACTTCCACCACTTGCCCACTTGCCTCTGCCTAAACTGGGGCTGACTCCGAAAGGCCACTTCTAGAACCATCCACTTGGCCTTTCGGTACTGTAGCAGCTACGACTCTGCCCTTTCAGGTAAGTAGCGGCTACGACGTTGACCTTTCGGAAAGTCTACAGCTACGACCTCTGGACTGTCTAGACTCCTACCCGACAGGTCTATAGTTTGAATCCCCTATGCCCTCTAACCTACGACGTCCTACTTGCCACTGGCGATTCTACAGGTCGCAGGTTCAACTCTACGGGTTGACACAGGTACTGTACACAGGTGAGGTGGGGATCTAGGGATCGAGCCCTGGGATCTGCATCAGCTACTGCAACTGGTGAATACCATTTCACTCCCGCCGGCCTAAATTCGAGGTCCTCCGAGAAAATTTTAGTCCAAGGCAGGACCTTTACCTTTCCTATCTCTTTCATAGGCCTTGACTATATCGGGAGCTGTCTCTAGAAGTTCAGTTCGGGTGTACCATCGGTCGTCTTTTGGTTCCTGATATGCAAATCGGACCTTGTACTGTTCCTCAGGACGACCCCTACCTCCTGTTCTAAACACATCTTCACCTACAATGCCGTCAATGTCATATCTTCCATCCATGTCTGGTGGGATCATGGATCGTCTCGACGGGAACTGATCACTCACCGTGCATGGCAACAACTTTGACGCATGGAAAACTGGGTAGGTGTGGAGGTCTAGTGGAATCTCAACGGTATAGGATTGACCATCCTCTCCACCCTTCTAGAACCGGCCATGGCCCTCTATACGTAGGCAGTAACTTCTGCGAGATGTTCTCCTCAGGAGCAAACTCTTTCTCGTTGACCCAGACTATAAAACCTACTTGGAACTGTGAGGGGCGACGATGTTTTTTGGCTTGCTCTATCATCCTATGCTGGGCTTTCCCGAGGTTCTCTACAACAGTAGCTAGTTCTTTCTCGTGCTGTAAAGCGAACTCCCTAGTACCGGGCGGTAGCCTGTAGATCTGATCCCGGTTAAGTCCCTCAAATGGCATGCGCGGTCTAAAGGACTTGTGCAGTTCGTTGGGAGTGCGGCACGTAGACAGCTGCACACTATTGTTGTAAGCACTAGCTGCCTTGGGAAGCATCTCATCCCAGTCTACTTGATCTGGTCTAATGTACATTCTCAGAACTTGCTGCAGGATCTTATTCATTTGCTCGGTCTGACCGTTGGTATCTGGGTGACGGCCACATGACATTAGCAACTTAGAGCCATAGACTTTCATCAACTCCTGCCAGTTCTGACTCGTGAACCGGGTTTCAGTAACACTAACTATAGACAACGGGACCCCGTGCTTGCTGACCCAATGATCAAAAAATTTACGAATGACTAACTTTGTCCGTGCCTCTGAAGGCAAAGGAACAAAAACAACACATTTACTGAATCTATCGACTATCACCATGACTTGGCTCTTGCCATGTCTACTCTTTACGCCCGTGTCCATGAAGTCGATGGACACTGAATCTCCGGGCTGATCAGGGATAGGTAAGGGTCTGAGAAGACCTGGCGGGGCACGCGTAGTAGTCTTATTCCGCTAGCAGACTTTACAACATCAAACATATTCTATGCAATCATTCTTCATACCCGGCCAGGTGAACGCGTGCATCAGATTGGCTAAAGTCTTTTGCCAACCAAAGTGACCCTCTGTGTCGTGACATTCTCCTAAGATCAGACTACGGATCTCTTCATTATTGGGAATGCACAGTCGGTCAAATACGAGAGTAACCCCTCAGTAGTGCGGTAATCCGGTTCGGTCTCTGGGGCTTCCTTAACTCTCTTAAGGAGTTCGCTGTAAATAGGGTCATGTGCGTATGCCTCTTTAACCTTCTATTGTAGGTCTTTCCCTATGTCCAGATAGTGCACTATGGCCCCAAAGTAATCAGCTCTCCTACTCAGAGCATCCGCCACAACATTGTACTTTCCTTTAACTCGCTTGAGCTCAAAGTCGTACTGGTCTATCTCTGCGGCCCACCTAGTTAACTTAGGTGTCCTCTTAGCCTGCGCCTTCAGCCACCTTAACGTCTCGTGGTCTAAATAGACTTTCAAGTGCCTCCCAAGCAAGTAGTGCTTCCAATGTTGTAACGCTTGCCTGAGAGCGTAGAGTTCCCTCTCATAGGTGGATGTCGCTACCTTCTCTGAAGGCATCCTAGCGGACATGAACTCTACGGGTCTATATCCATTGCCATCGTCTTGTTGTAGAACAACACCTATTCCGTATTGACTTGCGTCAGTCGTGACGACAAAAGGTAAAGACGGGTCGGTCACTTTAAGGACAAGAAACTCTATCAACGCCTGTTTTAACTTCTTCATGGCAAACGTATAGTCCTTGTTCCACTTCCAGATCGCTTCCTTCTTCAGCAATTTGCGAAGGGGCACAGCGATGGTGGAGAAGTTCCTCACGAACTTCCTATAGTAGTTAGCTAGGCCCAGGAATGACCGCAACTCTGTCAGCGTACGTGGTGTGGGCCAATCTCTAATCGTTGCGATCTTGCAGTCTTCTGGCTTGACGCCATCCCTGTCTAAGACGTGGCCTAGGTACAACACTTGGGTCACTTCTGTGCATTGATTTTGAAGTTAGCTTCTCTGAGCTTCTCCAAGACCTGTCTCAGATGAACCTGATGCTCTTGGAGGGTCTTACTAAACACTAAAATATCGTCTAAGTAAACAACTACAAATCTATCCAACCATGGCCTAAACAGATCGTTCATACACCGCTGGAATGTTGCTGGCGCATTGGTCAGTCCAAAGGGCATCACTATAAACTCATAATGCCCATATCTAGTCCGGAAGGCTGTTTTGTACTGGTCGTCAGGATGCACCTCGATTTGGTGATAACCGGACTTTAAATCTATCTTGAGAAGTACTTGGCACCCTGCACTCTATCTAGGAGATCATCTATCCTAGGCAGTGGCTCGGCATTCTTTACTGTGATAGCATTCAGACCCCTATAGTCTATACACATCCGCAACTCTCCTTCTTTCTTGGGGACAAAGAGAACAGGTGCTCCAAATGGAGACGAACTAAGCGTAATCCAACCCTTCTCAAGGAGCTCGTCTACTGCTAGGCTCTATCTCAATGCGATGTTGGATGGGCCGCGGTACTACTCCGGATGGCGGCTCAGCTAAGTCTTTAAATCCCTCCAGCAGTTTGGCAATAGCAAGGTCGACGAGTTTTTCCTCTTTAGGCTCAATCACTTGCCTAACATAGGCAACAAAAACCTGTTTTTCCAGTTGCTCATTTTTCACTTATCTTGCGAATGCAGGAGCTCTAAGGCAGCAATGCGCGAGGGGGTTCTCTACTCCTGAAACATGAAACAGGCGGGCGATCTTAGCCTCGCCTAAAGGGCTAGGGAGCCTACACTCGTGCTCTTTCAAAAGGAGTGTGGCCCCGACTGCCTCTCCCCAATCCATTCCCAGGACAATATCGAATGGGAGGCTGTCTTCTACGAGGAGAGTCAGGGATGGAAGACCTTCTCCACTTTCCCATCTTTCTCCAGGCGAAAATACACCTGGACTCCCTCTACATAATCCTCTACAACCATCGTACCGTTATCTGCGAGGATACTAACTATGGGGTCTGCTAGTTTCTGGACTTTAAGTCCCAGCTTCAACTTCTGCAGCGCTTTCTTACTGATATAGCTGCGGGTGGCCCCTGAATCTACTAGGGCCCCTACTCTACCTCTGAAGATCTCTACATCTACTAATATGAGTTGTCCTTTCTGATCCTTTTTCATCTTGGCCCAGGCGGGCATTATCTCCTTCAATTCCTCAGCCACGCCTGTGGACGAGGTGTCTAAAGAGACCCTAACACAAGCAGTCTCTAGACAGCTATTTAGACACCGACTTGCAACCTCTGCCATAGGCTCATGTGGTGTGGGAGTCTCCTGCCGGCTAGCGCTATKTTCCCCACATGGCCTAATGGTAGGGGCAGTGGCTACCCCTACCGGCGGCTGTCGTTTGACCCTTGAACAGCCGATCGGGCCTCTCTATACTTAGGACAATATTTAATGATGTGGCCCGGGTCACCGCAATAAATGCACTGGCCCCGGTCCACACGCTGTTGCCATAAGCCCTTGTCCAGACCCAAATCTTCCCAAGGCTTACTCTGCGGTAGCCCTGGGTGCCATCCACCTCTCCTATAAGGAGACCTATTCCCAGAACGGTTTTGCGGGGGACCTTGACCCCTGCCTCCCACTTGGCGGTTCCCTCCTCTGCCGCCAACCACATGAGCGCCCTGAGATCGGTTCCCTGGGGCCCGGCCCCCTTGGCCCTGGCCTCGTCCTCCGCCTTGCGGCCTCCCTCCAGCCGCGACAGCAGGATAAGTCCTCCCCTGGCTTTTACCCCACTATCCTCATTTTCTAACCCCCACTCTATCTGATCGTAGGGGATCTCGTCAACACTACCTTCGTCTAACGTAAGGACAAGACTATCCTTGGTCTTAACTTGCCCTGAGATAGTCAGACCCTTCCACTTCTTTCCTTTGTCCAGGTCTTTGTGCCAGAAAGTGGAAACTGACACAGACTTTGCCTCAAAGGCCACCACTTCCCTGCTGAGTGTATGTCATAGCAGGATCCTGACTCTTCGCAAAGAAGTGGCCTCGCAGGGATTCGGGCGTGGCCTTGTAAAAGAGGTTGACCAACTGGGCCGCTGTGACCCCGTGGTCAGGAACAGCCACCCATCCATCCATAACTCCCTTCAGTGCCCTGGCACTCTTCCATTGGCGAGAATGGATAGTTTGAAGCCTATCAGAGGCTTTGACACTGCGGGCGACATCAACACATCGCTCGCGCAGCAACTTCATGAAACCTATGAGGGAGGTGAACAACGAGTAAGCAACTGCATCATCGTTGCAGTTGGCAGAGCGGACTAGGGATCTCGCAAAACTGGCAGCCTCATCTTTAAGCGCATGAATGGCTATCAACACGTGCTGATCGGGGGAGACCTGTTGCAAATGCACATAGGTCTTGACATTGGCCTCCCAATTGTCAAAGTTTTCTTCCCTTTTTCCACTGTAGGAATCAGGGAACTTGACTTCGACTGGCTCCCTGCGAGGACGTGCCTCTTCCTCCTTGGGAGCCGTCGCCTTGACGCCTTCAATGGCGCCGACGCAAAATCGTTCAGTCTTCTCGAGGCGATGGTTCACCTCGGCTCCTACAGCGCCTACCAGTTTGCGAGCGAAGTCCCGAAATCCCATCCGCATCGAGCGCACGGCCATATCCTGACTTCGACTAAACTCATATTGTTCTTCCTGCACTCGGGCCAAGCGCTTGACACTCTGGGCAATGATCTCTACTTTTCGTTGGAGGTCCACTTGGGGGGTAAACTGTAGACTCAGTTTATGCACCTCCTCCAACTCTTTGACCGCTGCACTTGCCACGTCCACCCTCTTCTTCTTCTCCCTCATCATCCTTAACTTCCACTCCATTCTCTTTTTATCTTCCATCACCTACCGCTTCAAAGCATCTCCTTCAGCATCCCATTCCTTCATGGCGGCCTCCTGCTCGTCCTTGGGGATAAACATTGCTACCTCCTCTTCTCCCAAAGACAAGTTGGCAACCCACTTTGAAATCCTCTTCTCCATCTCATCAATTTTACTGCCACTGTACTGCCCTCGTTGCTCTCTCCTCCTTTCCAATGGCTGCTCATCTTCATCCTCTTCCTCTTCCACCTCCTTTAGTTTTTCCTCCTCTTCTCTCTTCACTCTTTCTTTCTCTCTGGCCATCTCCTCCTCTATTTTCTTCAACTTCGCCGCCTATGCCTCCATCAGGGCCTTTTTCTTGGCCTCTTTCTTCTCCTGCCTCTCCTTCAGTATGGCGGCCATATTTTCCTCCTCTTCCTTTGTATAGGGCTTGGTGGAGGCACCACCCCTGGTATCTACTCTACAGGTGAATGTGTGCCAGAACCCCAGGGGAAAGAGGAGACGCCAGAGGGTCCCCCAGAGGGAGAACCCAACAAGTAAACCATACATCGGGTAATCGTCCATGGTGTCAGCTATGGTCACTAGCCTAGACCTGTCACTACTGAACCAGCGGCTGATCTGGAGGCATTTAAGGAGATCTCCCTCGACTCCGCAAGAATTTTTTAACGTCGCAGATAGGACGACGTGATCAGCTTGGTTCTGCCTGTGCTTTCAGCCCACAACTCAGTCGTTCCGGCCTACTGTGCCACACCGAGCAGCCCTCCGGTCTGTACCGGTCCTTGGGAGGGTTCGTATCCCCCGGGACAGATGAGTCGTCAGACACAGATCCTCAACCTTACTTGGTCCGATAGGGGAGTGGTTCAAACAGGCCCTCAACACTTAAAGACTGCCTGGTGTGTCAGCCCTAACTGTCGTTCAGGCCCACTGTGTCCTACCAACCGTTTCCAGCCGGTCAGCACCGGTCCTTGGGAGGGTTATGCCCCCCTGGAAATTTGGATCAGCCACAGTCTCAGCCCTACAAGGTCAGCCTCGGGTTTCGTCATCCAAGCTCTATCCTTCATCCACATAGTGCTATCACCTAGGACAGAAGGGACTCGATGCAGAAAGAATAGACAGACAGACTCAGACTCAGCAAGTACCGTAGGGTGAGTGCACATCCACGGGGTGAGGGGATAGGCTAAGGGCTTGGCGAGATGTTACCAACTCCAGCTTGGTCAAAGTCTTGGTCAACGGCACCGGTCAACTCCTTGGTCAACGCTTGGTCAACGCAGCAAGACTCCGGTCAACCCCCAGTCAACCTCCCGGTCAACGTCCGATCAACCCTCCGGTCAGCTCTCCACCTCGGCTATGGCTACCGGCACCTTCTTCTTCGCCACCCTTATCTTCTCCTTCCTCCTCCTTCACCTTCTTTTTCCTTTCTGTCTTTTTTTTTCTTTTTTTGTCACCCTCGGCTATGTCTGTCTTCTTCTCCGAGGTCCCTCCTTCGTCACTCCGTGATACAACTCCGCAGCTATGGCCGCTTTCTTCCTCCTTCATGGGTCTGCTCCGCTCGCTTCACAGGTAAGTGACAACCAAACTTGTATCGCTCATCTCTCTCTCTCTCTCTCTCGCCGTAGCGGTATCCTTAACGCGGCAGGTAGTAACCCAATCTTGTATCGCTCATCTCTCTCTCTCTCTCTCTCTCTCTCTCTCTCTCTCTCTCTCTCTCTTTTCTTCTTCGTCGTGGTCTTCTTGCAGGTGCGCGGCGGCTTCTTCAACCTCGGGTCCGCTATGGCGGACTGTCTCCCTCAGGGGCCACCTCCACTATGGCGCTTCAGTGCCTGCACACAACGGCGCGCATGGAATAGCGGGTACCAGCTCCGATACCAATGCAATCAGACTCGTTTCATTCACACTTTTTATGTATGAGAACAGCAACACAGCAAACTGGCGACATGCGCCCACACAGTACTCAGAGATACAGCTTCCAGATAAGAGTTCGCTTCCACTGGCTATGGCGACTTAGCGCCCAAACAACTCAATTTCACCCACTGGATCACCCTGGATATCCCACACGCGACACTCCGCACACTCACACAAGACACGCACACTTCGTCCTAAGCTACAGCTATGGCAGCGCTAGCTGCCCCTATCCTATCGCTATGGCTACACTGCATCACTCTCGCCCACTTCGACTTCGGGCATACTGCAGACCTCCTCGCACAAGACGCTGAGGCATCGCTTCCGCATGGCTTCCGCAGGAACGAATGAATGTCTGCTCGCGGCCTCTTGATTTATACTTCTGTGACTGTTGGTCTGCCCTGTTTCCCTGGCCCACGGTGCACACAGTCCCAGACGGTGCTTGCTTGACTGGACCGGACTGACTGGACTGGGACCCTTGACTCTGCGTGGTGGACTTCCACCACTTGCCCACTTGCCTCTGCCTAAACTGGGGCCGACTCCGAAAGGCCACTTCTGGAACCATCTACTTGGCCTTTCGGTACTGTAGCAGCTACGACTCTGCCCTTTCAGGTAAGTAACGGCTACGACGTTGACCTTTCGGAAAGTCTACAGCTACGACCTCTGGACTGAGTAGACTCCTACCCGACAGGTCTATAGTTCGAATCCCCTATACCCTCTAACCTACGAGGTCCTACTTGCCACTGGCGATCCTACAGGTCGCAGGTTCAACTCTACGGGTTGACACAGGTACTGTACACAGGTAAGGTGGGGATCTAGGGATCGAGCCCTGGGATCTGCATCAGCTACTGCGACTGGTGAATACCGTTTCAGGTGGTTGGCTCCAATGAGAAAACACAATGCAAGAGGCTGTTCATACTCTCACCACTTATGGGGAGACTGAGCCTCAACAGCCTAGATAAGACAAATGCAAGGGTCCTAGCACTCGGAGACACCACGGAAAAAAAAAACTACCGTATTCACCCAAATAGAATGTACAGTCATTATCCCTGAATCAAGGCTGAAAGTTGCTAATCAATGAAAGTTCAATTCCAGGGAAAATGGTAGCTCAAACAGTGGAGAAAGAAAAATACATCATATGCCCCAAAGGTGGGGGAAACAAGTTCCATTGGGTAGAGCTCAGAGGTCAATAAGTCAGTTCAAGGGTGACCTCACCCAACAGTATTCCATCTGGGATCAAGCAGGCCTCAAAACCTCAAGCCAATTAAGACTAGGCCTGAGAAAATCAAAAGTCACCAGGTAAAGAGGATTTACCCCTGCAGGTCTGAATCATCCAAGACCCAACCACCAGCCCAGGATACCAGCAGCCCTATCCTTMCAAGGGCAGCTGTGCTCAGCCTGTTCCTTGCACTCCATTTTGAAAAAAAATAAATCCATCAAGGCCGCTGAATGCGATGCACCAAATCCATCTGCTGAGTCAGAGCCCTGGCAAGACATAATATTTCCCAGCGCCTCTGGTACTGACTAGGTAACTCTGCGGCATGCACCAGCCTGTCACACAGGCCCTCGAGGGCCTCAAGCCCATTAAGACTAGGCCTGAGAAAATCAAAAGTCACCAGGTAAAGAGGATTTACCCCTGCAGGTCTGAATCATCCAAGACCCAACCACCAGCCCAGGATACCAGCAGCCCTATCCTTCCAGGGGCAGCTGTGCTCAGCCTGTTCCTTGCACTCCATTTTGAAAGAAAAAAAAAATCCATCAAGGTCGCTGAATGCGATGCACCGAATCCATCCGTTGAGTCAGAGCCCTGGCAAGACATATTATTTCCCAGCGCCTCTCGTACTGACTAGGTAACTCTGTGGCATGCACCGGCCTGTCACACAGGCCCTCGAGGGTCCGGCCTTGGACTCTTGGGCCCTAGGGCTACGGGACCCACATTTTCAGCGGCCTTAGACCTGCATTTTATTTTCTGGGACTGTATTCATTTCATTCAGGCAGTGCGAGTTATTTATGTCTATTCTGTTATTCTTCTGAGTTTTGGTTCATTTCTCAAATCTCTGTCTTTTCCCAGTCTGTCAGTGCGGCGTCCAGTTCACACTTCTGGCCATTAAGGCACTGGGACGCCGATTAGTTGACGGGGAGTGATGGTCGGTTCCTTGTCTGCTTGTTGGCAGCTCTGGGTGTGCCTGGACGTCTGGTTAGGCCCCATGCCACGCCTTTTTGCGTTTGAGCCTTTAGACCAGGATCGGATCGCGTTTTGATCCGACACCCAGGACTACCTGGTGATAGAGTTAGTGGCGATGGTAGGGTGCTGCCAAGCAGCACTGGAGATAACACAGTGGAGTGTTAGTGCCACCTGAGGTAGAGGAGAGACTGGCAAGCAAACTTGTCTGCAGCAGGTATTAGACAGAGGAGAGCTCACCTGGCCATCATAGCTTGGGAATTGCACAACAGCCATAGCGGGGCTTCACTATGCTGTCAGCAGCCGCTCAAGACATCATATTTCACCAGTCAGTACCTGAGTTAAGCAACAGAGCTAGAGGAAGTCATTTCTTCTTCTTCTTCTTCTTCTTCTTCATTTTAATCGCCGTCCTCATCATCGTTGTCTTCTTCTTCCTGCAATGAACTCAATTCAAATCCGCACAGTCAACACCAGGGTCGTAACTTTTGGTCAAGCCAAGATTCAGCGGTCAAAAGTAGCATCTCCAGTCTCGAAATGGACTTAGAAAAGTCCTAGGGTCAAGGTATAAGGCCCTAAGCAGTGTTGCACACCCCGACGGTCGGCGGACCTTGACTGGTCGGCTGCCGACCTGCCGACCAGTCGGCTGGTCAGCACCTACCGATCGGGGGTCGGCGGCCACCCGCCAAAAAAAAAAAAAAAAAAAAAAGAAGGGGGTCCAGAACCACTAATAACACCACCAACACCCCAT